CACCTCTTCATGTAAGTTCAAGATTTACTTAAAAAGGGATAACATTACTTCACATTTCTGTAGTTTAAAATTGATGAAGCCCTGTCACAATTTTTGTCAATTTGTATTACTGGACTCTCAGGTGCTAGTATCAGACACCCAACTCAAAAATCACTTAAACACGAGAGAGATTGAACGGGTTCATGTTCTAATTGTGTCCATCAATGGATTCGACTCAGACACAGCTGCATCCAAGGCCTCGTTGGCGTCAAGGCTATGTTTCTGCACGGCTCAGTTTTCTTGTCTCTGTGTAGTCTCAGTCTCAGAATGACTTTGAAGGGTAAGAAGTCAGCAGTGGCCCAAGACTCACATTACTCCAGGGAAACAACTGTATGTTAGTGTTGTTAGAAGAGTCTGTTTCACCAATCTTGAATTTCCTAGGAACCTGTGCCTTTGGGCAGGGACACACAGTACTCTGCTCCCAGCCTGTGTCACATATTCTTTGGGTCACCATGTTGGGGGTAGGGAAACCCCATTCCACAAGGTAGTATGTAGTGGTGGAGAAGTTTTCCCCAGGAAGGGGCAGCAGAATGCTCTCATCAAAAGTAGCTCCAGCTCCTCACTCAGGATTTGTAGTAGCAAATCGGAGTTACATACAATGCTGATTTGTCATGAAAAGATTATTATGGTAGACTCAGGGCTTCATCAAGTAATGTACATTTTGTCACCTTCTTTTACCTTTATCTTTTGATAGGGAGCAAAAAGGAAAAAATCGTTAGAAGAAAGTAAAAATATGAAAGCATCATTTTTCTCCATTTCACTTTCATATATCATCCTAGCCTTTGTAGCTGTCCTAAAGAATTCACCCAGACTTGCAACTGTTATAAGACCTTAATACTCCCCACCAACTGTGGGGAGCTCTTCTCTGTAGAGACCAACATTTCATTTCTGCTCCTGCTGTGTTGGTCACCATATTTTCTGAACACAGTTGTCCAGTGAAGGTATGTGACATGAATCAGGAGTGAGTGCTTCTTCATTTTTGGCTGTCTGGAGAAGCCTAGGCTCTGAAGAGTTAGTTAGATAGCTGAGGTTGCACAACACACAGGGTTGAAGTTGGAATTCAAATACCATTATTTTCTTATCTCCAACTGTTTCTTTTACTTGGCTCTCCTGCCAAGTAATCAAGGGGCCAGTTTATATGCCAGCACACAACTTCCAGTCTCTCTGTGTGCTTGGGACCAAGTCAACAGCTGTGGGATTCGGTCCTTTGAAAATGACAATGAGCACTGGAAGACAGTCTGAGAACTTCCCAGCAGTGTGGTTATCCCATTCTCCTGAAAGCAGACACTGAAAGGTGACACTGTATGTCATCTTCAGGAACTCAGAGGTGTGGCTGATGTCAGACTAAGATGGTATGTGGTTTCATGTGCCTCTCCTGGAGTCTCAGTAGCAGAAGGAAACGCAATACATGCCCCACTTGTTGCCTGGACTTCTCAGCCATTCTCCCCTCCATCCTCCTGATCCATAGGATCAAGTTTCTATCTCAGAGACAAAGGAACTTCAACTTTCACTCTCATGACCCGAGTTGCTCCTGAGACCTCCCACCACTTTGCAGCTTCAAATCTCATACCTTCTATTGGATAAGAATCAAGCAAGAGAAAAGACAGAAACTTCCAGATTAATATGAAGACTGTCTCCCTCCCTCCCTCTCTCCCCCCACTTTCTTCTTCCCCTTCCTTCCCTCTTTTCCCTTCCCTCCTTCTTTCCCTTCGCTTCCTCTTTCCCTTCCCTTCCCCTCTCCCTTCCCTTCCCTTACTACTTCTACTAACCATTAGTCTGGGAACTATAACAGCAAGTCTCTCTCCCATTAAAAAATGTATCAGAGCTGGCAGTTTTTTTTTTTTTCTAAGCAGTGGCTGTATCCAAGTTTCAACCAGATAGACAGACTAGGAAGATACACACACACACACACACACACACACACACATTATATTAACATATTATAAGATATTATATATGATATATATTACTATATTGCATATTAAGATATTCTGTATACTAATATATGTATATAGCTTTATTCAGGAGATTGGCATATGCATTTATGGGAACTGAGTGGGTAAATGGGAAATTGAAACTGTCAGTCAGTCAGAAAGAGTGGTCTGGGACTTTTAGGCATTGGCCTGTTGCTAATGAATGTTCTGGTCTTCACAGAATCCTTGACTCACCTCTTAAGATCTTGAAGTGACTAAGTCAGCCCTACCTGGATTATCTAGGATTCTCTCCCTTACTTCAAACCAACTGATTATGGGCTTTAACCACAATCTGCAGCACACCCTCCCCACAGTTTCTAGGTCAGTGTTTGTTTGAATAACTGGGCACTGTGGCCTAGACAAGTTGGCACATAAACTCCATCAGAGTGGCCAGTTGGAGTTCTAGCCCTCACTTTCAGGATCTGTGAAATGCAGGCTTTGTCCTGCTACAGATTCCGAAAGCTCTATAACTTTTAAATTGAATTGCATAGGCTTTTTAAATAACTGTTTTTGACAATTCAAACTTAGGTGAAAGAACTTACGTATGTCTATTATTATTTATCTGTGTCAGTCCTGTGTTTGTTTTGTAAACAATGGCAAGTCCAGAAAGGATAGCTTGGATGAGGTAGTAAGCAGATAGAGTCTATAAACCTTGATTTAGAAATTCTTATTTTTAAATTCGTGGTTTGTATTGTCCCTTTGATATGTTACTTTCATTACCTTCCACAAATATTCCTCAGACCTCTGTTTTAAGCCCTGCAATTCTTCATGTAATAAAACAACTTCTGCTTCTACTGTGCTTGTTCTAGTGGAAGACACTAAGATAAAGAAAATAACTACAAAATTTTATAGTGGTGATAAGTAGTGGTAAGTGACAAAGATAATAAAGGAGAGGGAGAGAACAGACAGTGGTGAGTATATGTGTGTGTAGAGCTCCCTATACAACCTACGGGGCCCAGTGAAAAATGAAAATTCAATGTCTGTTATTCATCACATAGGAGAAACATGCTACTAAATGTTCTAAAACATAAAGCCTTTTCATGAATCTCTTTCTGGAAGTCCTGGAATTTTATTATTTTTACTTGCTATTTAATGATGATTAAGTAAAGAAAAAATTAAAAATTTAGATTACTGGTGTGGATTTACTTTCACTGTTTCTAGTGTAGTGCCTACTTTCAACATAAAGGCTAGAATGTAGTAATTGAAGTGACATAATCTGTGCTTTCTAGCTCATACTGCATTTTGATTTTATGCTAGAGTGAAAACGCCTTGCAAAAGGGACTTCTCTGTTTTTATTTCACTTGTTGATGCATGCACATTCTGCTTCACCTTTGGCTTTCTGATGAATGAAGAAGGACTAAAAGCACAGGAAACTGTTATTTTTCCTTTCTCTGCCATTGTTTTTAATGCATGTGGTTGTACAAGGCAGGGAACCAGTGTGAGCGGGAAAGGATGGGCTAGGGTTCCTTGTTCATTCACACTTCTTAGAACACAACTGATTTAGTTCTTCATTTGAAGAAAGTTCTGGTTCCAAAGCATGGCTTCCTGGGGGCTGTCAGCTCCCCTTCTTACTCAGTCACAAGCTGCCATACTTACCCTTTATTCACCTTGACACTTGGGAGAATTCCTACATGTCATGGATCCACCATAATTCTGTGTCATGGGTCATCACTAATGCAAATGGGTGGCAAGGGTCCGCAAGACACATATTATGGATATTCCTCTACTTACTCACAAATGTTCTCCACTCTGCCATTGAACTTCACTTGCAATATACAAGTTCAAAGATGAAATTTCAAGACAGTCACTTTATATCAAGAGCACTAAACTAAGCCTGGAACCTGGGACTGTCCTGAGCATGGGACTCTGTGTGTTACATAGGTTGCATGCCCATGAACTGTGTATGTGTGTTCTTTTAGATACTGCTGAGGAGAGGTGGCATTTGATTAGGGTCATTGCAAGATGGGGAAGCCAGACTGCAGAAATCTAGGACAGGACCAACATGTGCAGAGATCCCAAGGCCCTTGGTGGCTTTCATTTATTCTCTGAAGAGTTAGGAGACCACTGTGGCTGGATCCACAAGTGAGAGGGTGAGGGGTGGGAAATGAAATCAGAAAGGCAGTTCCTGAACTATGCATGACCTTAAAGGCCAAAATTAGGGCTTAGGATTTTTCTATAATGGGATGGGAAGATGTTGGGGAGTTTGAGCAGAGGTGTGGCATGCTATGGTGAAATTTGAAAGGATCCCTCTGGCTTCTGAGTGACAATAATCTGTATACAGACAAGGTTGGAAGTGATGCAAACAGTGTGGATGTTGCCACAACAGACAAGCAAAACTGCAACCTCAGACTGTGTGGCATAGATAGCAATGATTAAATATGGTGAATTCAGAGCATTTTTTTCAAAACTGATACCATCATGGGTGACACATAGAGAGATTATTCACTTAGGATGTTGGCCCAAGAAAACAGATAAAAATGGAACCAGCAAAAAGTAGTGAATTTCCCAAAGTTCTCCAGTTTGTGCATGAAAGAACTGGGGGTACAGGAGGCAGAGAACAGAAGTTTTGTGTGTGCTTTTCCTCTGTTCTCCTACAATGTTTGTGCCTTTCCAGCATAATAGGTTCTACATTAACATCTTATAATCCTCTTTACTGGTGTAGCTGGATCTGCATGGATTACACCTCCAGCAATTCATCTGTACGACATCTTGAAAAAGTTCAGAAATTATGACCTGGGTGGGTGACTCCAGCATAAACCCATATTTTCATGGTTTCTGCTTTGGGATTGCCTGTCTGCCTCAGTTTTATTTTAGTAGCATCATGATAGGCTTTCTCTCTCCATTCAGTAAATATCTCTTGGCCTCACTTAATAAATCAGAATTAATAAGACAAAGATTTTGCTACTAAGTTTGATGTACAGTTGCACCATATACAAGTCCAAATGATTTAACTATAGCTGGCTCTTTTTTTTTCTTGATTTTCAGCACTTTCAGACCATGCTGAAGTCTAAATTGAATGTCCTCACACTGAAAAAGGAACCTCTCCCAGCAGTCATCTTCCATGAGCCAGAGGCCATCGAACTGTGCACCACCACACCACTGATGAAGACAAGGACTCACAGTGGCTGCAAGGTATGGGATGTGTGGCCAGCAGGGCTTCTCCTGGTGGGACAAACTCAAGCATGTGTGGTTGTGAAAATCTTGTTCCAAAATAGTATGTATTTTTAAGAAGGCAAATATGAAACAACTATCACATTAAGCTCATTGAGTGATGGCAGTATGAATTCCTATCCTGTTTTATTTTTCTTAATGACATAACACTTCATCATTGTGGGGCACTCATTAAAACACAGGTTTTAGCACGTGTGAACAATATGATATTCTTGTATTTTCAGTAGCTATATGGAACTTTGGATTCCACTAGGAAAGTTTCGTCGTTAATGATAAATCCTCCCTTGCAAACTGAATAAAACATATCTTAAAAAATGAAAAAAACCAGCCTCCCATCTTCTCCCTCCAAGCTTTCCAACAATTGAATTCTGAGTCCTTTGGTGGTAATTTTGCATTTTTGCTTTGTTTCAGCTCTCAAAATTTATACTAATATCCTTGCCTCAGAATCCATAAAAAAGCATTTTTTATTTATGCAAACTACAATGCTGACATGGAAACAAAGCTAGGAACAAAATGTATAATTTTGGTAAGCTTTTGGATTCTTTTGCTTGAGTTGGTGAATATAGAAATAGGTTTAGAGATAAAATATTTTGATGCATGTTTGGTCACCAGAAGTTTTTTTTGAGTCGGGGGAAAAATAACAAGGGGAAGGGAAGTGCACATTTATTTGCATAGAGATTTTCTTTAAAACCTTGTAGATCCACTCCTTTCCTTAGTTCTTATTGTGGGGGAAGCAGTTCTTACATAGCTGTGGTCAGCTTGGAGCCTGCAGTAGTCTTGGGTGACAGTGTTTTGCATAAAACCTCACACACATCCATTCATTCCACATGTGCTTGCTGAATGCTCACTGTTTACCAGACACTGGGACAGAGTATGGGTAAGACGCACATTATCTTTATGGAATTTTAACTGCTCATTGAGCCACAGGCGAAGAGAAAGTACACACGCACAAGCACTGATTGGTGAGGAAGCCAATTTATGAAGAGTTTGTGGAAGCATCTTTTAGGTAGAGAGGACAAAGAGTGCTAATTATCTGAGGTAGAGCTATTCTTAGCAGATCTTGGAAAGAAAGGAATGGGCCAGTGTACCTGGGAAGCTGAAAAAGTTCAGGTGAGTGGTGAGAGTTGGGTCGAGGGAAGCTTTGTAGTCATGGTAGGGAGTCTAGATTTTGTTCAAATTATGATGAAGATTTAAGCAATGAGTTATATGGCTCAATTAAATGATAAGTCTGATAAGGCTAAGCTGGCAATTCTACTTCCCAGAGTGGTTGCCAGTGGCTCTGCTTTGGCTGAAAAGAATGAATGTGTAGCACTGGTCTCAGGTCCACTGCATGCACTACTTACAGTGAGGTGACAAAGAATTAGCAAAATAGTCATTACATTTGAAAGTCATATAGATTAAACACACTGTACATCCCTAGAAGATTTACTAATGTCATTTTGAATTCTGTTCCTATTATAGAAGATCAGGGCTCAAGAAGCAAGATGAAGTCAGCGGCTGCAAATATAAGGAGGAGAGTTTTGTTTGATAGACTCTAGAAAGTATGTTTAAAATGGGAAGGATATTAAAAGAAAATACAGTTACGGAATAAAAAGCACACCCAGCAATCTGACCCATATATGAAAGGTGTATGTGTGTGTGTGAGAGAGAGAAGAGGGGAGAGAGAAAGAGAGCGAGAAGAGGTTTGGTAGAGGAATAAACAGCATTTTATTTTTCTGAAAAGGAATACAGAGTTCAAGATTCGTAGACTAAATTTTTTCTGTGCACTGCCTTAGGTCTTGCTGATCTATTTCACTTCTAAAAGGACAGTGAAAAGGAATAGGAACTCAAGAGATGAGTTCCAAGAGGGTTGGGATTGTGCGGGCATCAGTGTGTGTGGTCATCTAGACAAGGAAGTTTGCAGTGATTTCAGCTGAACACAGGGAGGGACTCTGCATTCAAGGTGAAAAATACATTCCACCGAGCTATAAAAATTTATGAACTTACCATCCCTAGAAATGGTGAAGAGGAGGTTCCAGTGTGGATAATGATAATCTCGGAGTTGGAGGCCTGAGCCACCATCTCTGAGGACCTTTCCAGCACTATCGTTCTATCTGAAGGAAGAAAACGTACAACGTGCAATTCTCCAGAGTGTATGCTATCAACTTGATATCTTTAAATTGTAACTGTAAATGTACTGGAGTCACATTCTTTAATTTTCAAGGACAATGTCATGTTTGTATTCAAAGTCATATTCCTTTGTTAAAAAGAAAAGGTTAGGTCTTGGGACCTTGACATTTCTATTTAAAATCACCAGACCTCCCCCAGTTCTCCTGATCATCTTCAAGAACAAAGTCCAGTGTTTCCTTTCTGATTCTCGCCAGTGAGAAACTTAGCTCACAAGATGCCAGCTGCAGAATGGACTCTCTCTCAGACTCACGTGTCCCAGGAATAATGAGCACAATGTAGCTCCAGTCCAGCTGCGGGGCCTGCATTTTGGACACTCCATCTTTACACAGAGCTTGTTCTTTTTTCCTAAGAGCTCTCAAGTTGTGCTTGCATAACTTTGGGGTTGGGGAGGGAAAGAGGTAGGAAGAAGTGAAGGAAAGGGGAGTTGAAAGTGGGTTATGGTTAGCACCACCAAGACCCTTTTACATCTCAGATTTCACATTTCCCACTGATCTGTATTCTCAGTGGGTTCTGACTGCACAGTCTTGCCAGGCTATTCGTGTTTCAGGCAGCTGGGTCTTTGTGTGTTCTCCTCTATTGCTGCCACTTTTTTTTTTCCTGGAGTGGAGTTATTTAACCATACAACCCACTGCATCCTATTAGGACTCTTTCTGGAGCTGTTTTGAGTATCAGAAGTTGTGTGTTATCTTGCAGCAGTGACAATGGCTTTTTACACCTCTCTCCTACCGAGCACAATGGCATCCTAGTGGCTTCATTTCAAGCAGAAATTTCTTGAATTAATATTCATTGAAAAAATCTACTGTATGCATAGAATCATGGACTCGAGTCACACCTCCAACTCCTACTTTTCAAAGTTAGTGAGTTATTATTTTAATTGTACAATTTATAGAGGAGTGTAATAATTTGATACATGTAAACGTTATGCAGTGATCAAATCAGGATAGTTACTATTTGCATCTCCTTAAACTTAAATTTGTTTGAAATTAAAATATGTAACAATTGTACATACTTATGGGGCATGTGTGGATTTCACAGCTTGTATACAATACGTGTTGATCAAATCAGATATATTGCCATCTCCTTATTATCACCTTGCCATCTTTACTCTCCTCTCTAGTATTTATTCATAAAATAGTTAGCAGGTTATTGTGAACTATGGTCCTCACTGTTCTCTAGACCTCTCTAGAACTTATTTCTTCTCTCTGACTGTATTTGGGTAACTCTTCCAATCTCCCACTCTCCCCTCACTTCCTCCCGTCCTGGCCTCACCATCAGTATTGTATGTTCTGATTGACTTTAACATTCACATGTGATAGATGTGTTAGTTAGTTTTCTACTATCACTGGGACAAAATGCTTGAGCTAAACCTCTGAAAAGGACCAGAGGCTTGTTTCTGTCTGTGATTGTTTGGCCCTGTTGCTTTGAGCCTGATCATGGTGGAACATCATGGCAGGAGCATGGCAAGCAACACGGCTTACTGCATGGTGGCTGGGAGACCCACTTCTTTCAACTAGGCCTCACCTTCTAAAATTCCAAATGCCTTCTGGTAGTGAGTGCCATCAGCTGGGGACCACAACTCCAACATATTTTGGGGAGTGGGTCACATAAGACCCAAATCATAACAGTAGAGAAAGTCTGGTGCTCATCTTTCCATGTCTGACTTATTTCACTTAACATAAGGTCCTCCAGTTCCATCCATCTTGCTGCAAAGGGTTGGGTGGCATCACTTTTATGGATGACTATTATTTGATTGTATGTGTATGCCATTTTCTTGATCCATTTATCCATCGGCAGGCATCTAGTTTGATTCCATATCTTAGCTGTTGTGAATAGTGCAGCAACAAACATGGGTGTGCAGTATCTCTTTGATACGTTGATACCATTTCTTTTGGATATATACCCAGCAGTGGGAGTGATGGACCATATGTTAGATTTATTTTTAGTTTTTTGAGGAACCTCTAAAATGTTCTCTATAATGGCTGTTTTCTACTAACAGTGTGTGAAAGCTCCCTTCTCCACATCCTCACTGGCATTTGTTATTTTTTGTCTTTTTTGATTCAAGCCATTCTAACTGGGATGAGATGACAAGTCCTTGTGGTGTAGACTGACATTTCCCTGACAGATAATGAAGTAAAACATTTTTCATGAATATGTTTGATCATTTGAATCCTTTTTTTTAGAAGTGTCTGTTCATATCCTTTGCCCATTTTTAATTGGATTATTTTCTGTCATTGAGTTTTAAAATTTTCTCATATATCCTGGATATTAATCCTTTGTTAGATGAATAGTTTGCAGAATTTTTCCCCATTCTGTAGGTTGTTTCTTCACTCTGTTGATTGTTTCCTTTGCTATTGGGAATAAGACCTAAAAAGCCCAGGAAACAAAAGCAAAGATGTACAAATGGGATTTTCACATGTCCGTTTCTATCCAGAGGTCCTGGGCTCAAAGATTTACCCTTTCTAATTGGGATAGAATTTTATCTTTTCTTATAAAAATTAGAAAGCACAGGAATAATGTGTTAAAGGTGCAGAAAGTCAAAAGTTGCATTTTTTTCTCTCTTATGTAGCATATAGACCTAATATGCTAAATACAGAAATATGATGAAAAAAGGTCACGCTAAGGAAGGTCATATACAAGAAGGGGAAGGTAAAAGAAGGAAGTTAAGAAAGTGAACATGGTTGATGTACTCTCTATACAAGAATGAATGTAGAATTTTTAAACCAGGTGAAACCATCATAAGAAAGGGACTGAGAGAGTAAGGAGAAAAATAGAGGAGATGAACCAAACTGGGT